AAATTGGTCCACAGAGTTTGCAGGGTGATGTTTAATTTTATAAATAACTCAAGACTATTTCTTTGGCTGTATATGCAATACATCCTTTGAATAGTAGAATTATATGACAAAGACACTTTTGAGATACATATTATAATTATAGCCCAGTTTTTAATTTTTAAATCATATTTTTAAAAACCCCAATAAGATTTGAAGTCTTATTGAGAATACACATTTTTTTACTTAAATATTTTTCAAAATCATGACTAATAATCAAGTCCTTAAAATGATTTCCAGACACAGTTTGAGCTGTTCAAGGTAAATTGCAATGTATTATTTTAAACCGCTGTTAAACAAACATGTTTAGTGAAATCTATGCCAGCTCATCCATCCAAATTACCTTATTTATGTTCGCCAAGTTACATAGGAAGTGAAAAAGAAACAGCAATTTCTTTTAAATTTGAAATGCCTTAAGTGTGTATAAGCATTCCAGATACTGAAGGATTTAAGTTTACAAAGTTAGTGAAAGATTTTATCTTGCATGGTTTCAGGGTGACCATTTTGAAATGAAACATTTTCTTAATTAACTACATGTATTTTTGTATAACCTTTAACAAAGAGAAAAAGACTTTTGAACCAAAACTTGGTAGACCTGGAAATTTTACTTTTGACCCTACCACTTATCTACTTAAAATACTCAATGACTTACTATTGAACTTAAAACGAATTCCAGAATCTTGAAGCAGGGGCCACAGTGTCTTCCACGTGCAGCCGAAGAGGGTCCCTATTGCTCTGTGAGTGCTCCATATCTTTTCTAGTTCAATGTCTCAAGAACCTACTTTTCAAGTCAGCCTCTCCTCCTCAGCTACTGTCTCACATCATCTTATTTATTTCCTTCACGGCCCTCTCAATACTCTGACATTTTCCTACTGATCTACTCATTGCCCGTTTACTCGCCCACCAGAACGCCGGTTCTGTGAGGGCAGAGGTGTGGTCTTATTCACCACAATGCAGCTAGAGCCTATTAGCGGACATTTCTTTTCATTCAAGGTAACTAACGACTGAAAGACAAACACCTAAAACCAAAATCTCTGGTAGCTACACCCTTTTCCCATCAAACAACAGTTCATGAAATACCTTGTATACAGATTTTTCTATATAGACAGATGAGGATGTATAGAATCTACATAGAAGATACTTCTATATAGAATCTTCTACATAGACAGATATCAAGGTGTGTGAGTCAGATTCCTGCCTTCAAGTAATTGTAATCTATTCAAAGATATAGAATGTGTCCTGTTATTGATCTCTTAAAGTTTGTATAACATAAGAATTAAATGTATGGCATCATCCATCATTTCCCATATTTGTTCTACAAAAACAGTAACATACTGAGTTGGCTTACAATAAACAGAGAATCGTGGCCAAATAAGTGTGGCACATTTAAGGACCATATCATCTTTTGGATGACCATCATGCATTTATAACATATTAAAGTCTCTGAGAAATCCAGTGGAGAACAACTTAGCCTTATTTAACAAGCTTATTTGATGTTGGAAATTTTTATTATATAACTTCTACTAGCATCTCCTACAACTACAGTTGTAGGGGATGCTATTTGAGGAAAAATGGGCTGCTCTCAATAAGGACAGCCATCACTGAGGTCACTGGTAAAGAGGAATGCAAGTGCATCTTGGAAAAAAAGAGCATCTCAGTCAATCAGCGCATCAGAACAATGACGATCTGGGCAGGGAGAGCAGGAAATAAGTGAGATTGTAACCACTGCTTTTCTATAAGAGAAAGTGAGAAGGGTGTCAATTATTCACACTCTTCTTTAATACATCAGTATTCATTTATTAAGCAATAAAGTATGGTATTTGTTTTGAATCGGGCTAAAAATTCATTGGAACATAGAAAAAATGGAGTAGTTATATCAATCTATATGTAATATAAACAACTATTAAACAAAAATAGTCCTCACTTAATTCAATATTTTAAAGGTATAACTTACATTCAATAAGATGTAACAGTGTTACTATTATACACTTAAATGAATGCACCATACAACTATTACAACAGTAAAGATATGAATATTTGTGTCACCCTAAATATTTCTCTTATTTTCTTTCCAGGACAATTACTTTACCCTCAGTTGTAACAATTAGCGATCTGTTTTCTTTCACTATATGTTATATTTGTGTTCTCTAAGGTGTCATATAAAAAGAATAATTTAGTATGTAATCATTTATGTCTGTATTCTTTCACTCAACAAAAGGTTTGTGTAATTCATGTTTTGTTTATATTATAGCACATTCCTATTTATTGCTGAATAATATTTTATTACTAAGTAAATACCTAAGGGTAGAGTGGTTGGCTCCTATGGTGAATGCATATTTAACTTTATAAAATACTGCCCAATTGTCTTCCAGATTTATTTAACTTTATGTTTCCACCCAATGTATGTGAGTTCCTTGCATTCTAACCTTTCAAAACTTGGCATTGTCAGTCAAGAGGTTATGTGAGATTTCTGTGTCTAGGTGACTATGGAAGGGGCAGAGGATAGGTGGAAATGAATGAATGAATGAATGAATGAATAAATAAATAAATAAATATTATTCTAGGATTTACAATATGTATCATTAACTTATCACAGTCTACCTTCAAAATGATACTTATGTATAATGTTAGAATATTACAACAGTATAGTTTAGTTTCTTAATATTTCATATTATTCCATTAATTGTTCCATACTATGGTCATATATAACAAACACAACAATATAATTTTATTATGTTTGCTTTAATCTACACAAATATATTTTAAATACATTTTTAAATGACAAGAACTACTGAAAGAGACCTCTAAAGAAATATAAAATCTGGTTAGACATATAATAAACAGAAAATTCATAATTTTAAAATTTTCCATTAAGAAAAGCTCAGGCTCAGATGATTTCAATGATGAATTATACCAAATACCATATTTTGCCATATATAATATGCAATTTTTTGCCCAAATTTTTTAGGGAAAAATAAAGGTGTGCATTGTACATGGGTAGTACTAATTCTGTATCTATATAAATATTTTTAATTTTTTAATTTATGCTTCTGCATTAAAAGTGTAACTCTAGAAAACAATACAGATATCCATATGCAAAATAATACCCTGGAATATGATCATTGGCTTTGTTTCTAAGAATAAATAAATAAAGGAGTTAAAAAAATTAAAATGAAAGATTTTTTTTCCTGAAAGTTTGGACCAAAAACACGGGAGTTCATTATACACAGGAGCACATTGTACATGGCAAAATACAGTAGTTTAAGAAGAATTAATGTAAAGTTTTCACAAATTTCCTCAAAGTTAAGAAAAAGAGAGGACACTTCCCAACTCATTCTGTGAAGTCATTATCACCCTGATACCAAAGGCAGACAAGGATTTCACAAGATGGAGACCTACAGACTGATATGAATATGAATAAAATGTAAAAATCCTCAACACAAAAGTAGGGAACCACATCCAAAAATGTACAGCAGGGAATACACACTATGATCAAGTAGGAGGTATCTCAGGAAAACAAAGTTGGTTCAACATCTGAAAATCAATAAATGAAAGGAGCAATCTGAAAGTAAAATTAAAAAACAGTTCTATTTACAGTAGCATCAAAAATGATTACAAACACATAAGGACAAATTTAAGAAAACAATGCAAAAATTAGATACTGAAAACTGTAAAACATTGTTGAAATTAACTAGAGACCTGAAATAACTGGAAAGATATTTCATGCTCAAGGATTAAACAACTTAATATTTTTCAAATGGTAATACTTCCCCAAAGTGATCTACAAATTGAACTCAATCTCCCCCTACCATAAAAGTAAGGAGCAAAACAGTGTCTTTTGCATCTGAGACAGAGGATAGATAGATAGATAACATATTTTCATAGGCTGGAGTATTGGTAAGAAACTAATGAAAGCATAAAAGCATTAATGTGTGGTGGTAGTTGGGTTAAAAGTGGGAGAATGTGGGGACAGGATAGTTTTATAAATCGTCTTGCTCTTTGTGTTCTGTGCATTTTTTTTAAGTACGGGGTAAGAAAGGAGTAGAAATTCTGCATTCCTACCCTGGCAGCATAGAATGTAGACAAGGCTGGCTTCACAGAGTCAGACCAGAGTCACTTAACTCACAAATTCGTTAAGCTCTGTGTGCGGATAATCCTGATGGGACATGTGACTTCACATTACACCAGACTTTCAGAGACTATAACTAATACTAAGACAGGAGCAAGTGAGCAGGAGAAAGAGGCCAGCTGAACTCCTTCTTCTTTTTAAATTTTAATTGTTGTTCATGTACAGTTTTCTGTCTTTTACTCCTATCCCATCCCACCCACCCCCAAGCCCTCCCCACCTCCCTCCCGTTTCCACCCCCACCTTGTTTTTGTCCATGTGTCCTTTATACTAGTTCCTGCAAACCCTTCCCCTTTTCCCCTGAAATTCCCTTCCCTCGCCGCCCCCCCCCCCCCCCCCCCCGGCCAGCTGAACTTCTTTACTTCATTTGCAGAGCAGCAGTAGCTAAGACTCTCCCATGTCCCTCCAGTTGGTCCTGCACTAATGCAGTGAGGCAGAGGAGATCTAGAGAAGGTAAAAAACATGTGCCTGAGGATGACTCTGCTGCTCAATATTGTAGATAAGATGGTGAGAGAAAGAGGGGGGGAAAGCAAAGGTGTATGGCAAAGTTTCTGCTGACCAACTTTGGGCAGCAAATATACTTTGGGAAAAGTGAAATCAAGCTTCTTTAGCCTTGATCCACATTTAAATTTGTTTGGACTTTGGAGTTCGAGTTACGCAATGGGAAATGTTTTGATGAATTAATTCCATCTGAAAATGGGAAAGAATTTTCAAGAGTCCTCAGTGCCTTTATGTGAGAAACCCGGAGCCCCAGTTTCTTCCTTACCTTTCTCCAGCCTTCCACTCTGTATATCTTCCCAAAGTTAATTGCAAACTATCACTGCTTAATTGCTTTTAGAGATGGACCCCTGCGCAGATGGGAATGGATGTGCCCACATCTGTCAGAGAGAGAACGGAGCAGCCAGGTGTGCCTGTCACGCAGGCTACCAGGTGTCTGACGACAAAAAGGCCTGCGGAGGTAGGAACTTGAATCTGATAGCTTAATTGTGTAATTGTACAAAATTTGGAGGTAATTCAGTTTGAATAGTCAGGACAGCTAGGGGACAAGTGTTTTTGTTTTTATGCTTAAAATGGAACACTTATACTCTTATTTGATCATTCTGAAAGGTATTTTATGATACTATAAAAACTCAGTGAAAGTTTAATTACCAAAAAAAGGGGAGGGCTGGTATAGTTTCATAATTAATGCTATTTGTTTTCTGTTTCTGGAATTCTGAAGTGAATTCCAGAGTTGATTTTTCAAAGCTTTGCATAACCACACAGGGAGATTTGTTTGTTTGTTTGTTTGTTTTGTTTTATTATCAGCTACAGAAGATACGAGTAACCTTTGAAAAGCAAGTAGTGCTAATGAGAAATAGAGATAATGGAAGGAAGGAAGGAAGGAAGGAAGGAAGGAAGGAAGGAAGGAAGGAAGGAAGGAAGGAAGGGAGGGAGGGAGGGAGGGAGGGAGGGAGGGAGGGAGGGAGGGAGGGAGGAGGAGGAAGGAGAAGGAAAGAAAGAAAGAGAAGGGAAGGGAAGGAAGGAAGGGAGGGAGGGCCTCTATAAATACAAGGCTGCATATTTCTGTTTCCTAGAAATAACAAAACAGACATACTTCAACTGAAAGATAAGTGATAAATTACTTCATGTCCAGAACTGATAAATGGAGTCATTCCTGTGACACAGTCATTGTTTTAATAACTTCTGAGGAATCACAGAACCCTTCATCTTATCATGACGTGAGAAACAGTGTATTTGGGTTAGTTACAAAAACACGAAAATATTTCCTGACTTATGGCACTGAAAAACACTTTGAGAAAATGAAAAACAATTAAACGTAAAAACCGGTGTTAAGTTAGTTTTTTTTTTCCTTAAAGTCAAAACTATGGTAACATTTTCTGTGGACTGTGTGAACCCACTTTTCTGACAGAAAACGTTTTTCTGCTTTGGTCCTCTGATCACAAAGCACCTGCCTAGCTCAGCACCTGCTGCAGAACAGGCCCTAGTTAGACATGTGTGGGAAACTGACAAGTCTGTACATATACAAATATATGTATATGCCTACAGATAGATGTAGGTATACATAGGTAGATACATATAGATGTACCTATAGATGTATCTATCTATATATAATCTCTTGCAAAGTTTTATTTAATACCATTCTTCCTAGAAAGTCCACCCCCCAATTACTGTCTAGGGTTTTACAAATATGTTACAAGAATGAGCATGGCTCTTAAGGTCCCTGGTGAGGATGACACGCAGGGCGGCACAAGGAGGAAGTGCTGGTGGGAAAAAATGGTGGTGAGACCTGTCCATTCAAAGGGAAGGAGCAGGGACCACCCGGGCCACCGAATGAAGGGACACTGACTAGACTTGGCTATTGGTGTCAGGGGAAAGAGAGGGCATGACTGTTCCAATAGCACAACCCGGTGACAATCATAGGTCCCACATATATTAGGAATTGCTGTGTATGAAGCCTGCCTTGTCTATGGCCACATGCTCTGACTCCCTTAAATCAGGGCAATGCCATTTGGAGTGATGAATATGAAATATATCCCTAAAGACAAATTAGAATGGCTTCTTACCCATATTATCAGGGGACAGGTAATGTCTCTCTTTATGCTTTGCGTTCTCTTTCTCCCAGTTAGAAGATACTGGTGGGCTGCAATAGAAATAAGTGTTTGCGAGCATACGACTAACACTGTCATTGGTAATTAATTTATTTGCAAATACAGAGCCTGTGTGGCATTTTCTGATACACTTGATGTTGAGGGGTGCCAGGGAAGGAAGGCTTAAGTTCATTTGTATCGTTTGTACACAAATTCAGCCTCCAAAGACATAGCCACTGTGCTTCTGTGTCTGCAGACATAAGCGAGTGGGCCGGAGGGCAGGCCCTCTGCAGCCACCACTGTGTGAACACAGTGGGATCTTTCACCTGCGCCTGCCACCCTGGCTTCCAGCTGGGAGCTTATGGGACACAGTGTTACATTAAGTGGCAGCAGATCGCAGCCCCGGAAATGTGTGGCATTTGGCAAGTATTAAACAAGAATAATAAAAGAACAACACTGAATATTTTGTCAAAGCGAAGCTCCTGAGACTGTTTTCCATAAGGGTGGGGTAGGGCTGAGAGCTTAGAAGTTGAACCCCTTCCTTTGAATTTAAAGAAATGGACCCAGAGTCAATAGCAAGTGCTCGGCATAATGATCCCCAGTGTAGCCGTAAGGACTAAGTCTCAGGTCTTCTGACTTGGGGCTCTCTTGGACCCATGGCCCTCCTGGCAGAGTCCGCTTTCCTTCATCACTTTGGCCGGCCGTGTGATGTTTAGCGAATGCTAGTCAGTGTAAAACTCAAGGACAAAGAGCTAGCAGGATGGAAGGAACCAGCAGTACCAGAAGAGCTCCAGAGTGTAGCAAAATGACTGACCCACTGTTTGCTCTAATGAGTACATTTCATGTCAGCTCTTTTCTCCCCCCCATTTTTATTCCTTTCCATTCTTCCTCTTTAAACGTCACCTTCCATCTTCTCATTCTCTTTCACAGACTCATCCCTCTGTTCCTGCGATGCTTGCCAGCGAACCTTAGCTTCTTACCTCCCCTAGGCGCAGTTATACAATTTAATACATCCCTTATTATGAACATATTACGATGTTAATATGCTGAGTTATTAGCTGCTACCATAGCTATTGCAGCCATTTCCTTCTCTCAGGGCTTCCCCACTGGTCTGCTGGTCATCTGTAGACGAACACACTTATCATCCTACTTATTGAAGCTTAGACGGTCTGCTACAGATTCCTTCCTGTCCCACGTTCTCCACCTCGGTACTCCCCATCCACGCCCACCCTCTACTTCTTCTCTCCTTTTCCAAATGGCAGAATATTTTTTCCTTATTTTTTTTGGATGGTTTCTTTATCTTTGCCTCTTATGTGATTGTGGTATATCAATAATTTATTTTCCCCCTTCATCTTCACACTTTACCTTTTTCTCAGTGACTTCTTTCCTTTCTTCTCTACTTCATATCTACACCTTATCAGGTGAGTTTTCTAGGTTTAAAATGCAACCATGTTGACTGGTTTTAAATTCACAAATCTCAAACGAGTAAGCAAATGTGGCTTCTCAAGGTCATGTTAAGAGAACATGTCCACTTTCATCCTCATCGAAATAAATGTTGAATGTTTTCTTTTTCTTCTAAATCTTTATATCACCCCCCTTTTACTTTATCCTTACTTTGTCTCTTATGTCAGCAATACAATGTATGCAAACCACCATTCAAGCTAGCAACTGATCCGAAATAGCTCATAGAGTTATTTGGAAAAGACTTCACCCTGTTAGTGTGATGGAAGTGTTACTGCTGTCCAAGGTTGTCTTCTCCATTGTACCTTGAATCCCATTCCCTCTCTTTATCTGAAAGTCTTTGCTCTTGCAATTGTCTAATGGATCATTTTCAGCAGTGTATTGACATGGTCCGGTATCTCCAGTCTCTGAAGTTCCCTCTGCTAAGCCTGCCTGCCACTGGAGCTCTAATCTGATCATCTTCACAGCAATCATTTTGCAACTCCACCAGTGTCTTCTCCCCGCCTTGAATTCTCTCATCATCCCAGACTAATTAGATGATCACCCCTACCTCTGTACAGTCACCTATGGACTCCAGGTACCCAGACAGCCTGCTGACTTCTCCAATTTTGCCCTACTCCATCTCTCAGCTTCTTTCAATACAGTTGACTCATCCCTGTTGTTCTTGAAATACTTTCTTTTCTTCCATGTTTTCACACTTTCCATGTTTTTCTCTCCATCTTTGGCCCCTCTCTCAATGTCAAGTTTATATTTCTACTTTTTCCTTGAACCGCATGTGTATAAGTATGTACTCCAACTATGTACTCTCAGTTTGCTTGACTAATAAGCATTGCAAACTTGATAGGCCCCAAACAAACTGCTGATTTCTAGTGTCAGTTTCAAAGATGCTTTTCCAAGTTCTCCACATCTCAGTAAACTATCAATTCATCATTGAAGCCAAAAACCCAATGATACAAACTTAATAAGTGACAGACAGGAATTTGAACTTGAGTGTGTAGGCTCCAAATATACTGTCCTTTAAAATTCATCATGTATTTTATACATTATATATTATCAGTTTTAATTAATGGAGAATAAAGGTAGTGATAAGTAGAATAAATACTTATCACTTACTTTGTGTTCTTACTTTAGCTCAATCATGAAGAGACTTTCTTAGAGTCACTAAATTCTTCATTCTTCTCCACTGCATAAAATTCTGTTTCTGTAATGCCCGGATTGTTCAGTAAAGTCTTAAAGTCTGTTGGTATATTTCTACTGCTTAAAGACAGTGCAGTTTTGTTACGGTTGATACCTGCCTTTTAAAGAGCAAACTAAATAAAAAGGGAGAGAAGATTTAACTACTAAAGATACAACTTTTGTAGTGAGCTTTTCTCTTAATGCCCTGAGGCAGAGAGAAATACAGATGAGTTTTTCCTTCTTATTAATATATTAATATTTTGGCTTTTTAACATGGCCAGAGGTGTAAGAGCATTTTACAAATGTGTGAAATAAAATCTCTTGTAATCTGACTGGTGAATTCTCAGTTATCATGAAAGAGGAAGCCATGATTAATGAGTTATGAGGCACAGGCTTTCTATAGAATTTACTTGGGAAGGGAATGTTCCCTAGAGTTGAATACATTTAGTAGAAGAATATTTTTACATTTATTCCCCTTATGTGAATATTTGCCTAGCCAAATTCTTTGTGCAGCTTTCACCAGACTTCAATATTTATTGATATACAAAACTTTCTTGATAAAAACTGGTATTTTGAGTTGTTTTAAAACCTGTAGGTGCAGTAAACGCTTTCAGAGTCTGGTGATGTTTAACAATGGATTATGTGTCCACTATATAGCAATGCATATCTTAGGAAAATATTGCTTTAACACTTTTCTAAGAAAACAGTATTTTATATTTATATAGTCTCTTTGCAGGAGCTCTCAAAACATCAAATCCCTACAGTGTGCTGTGAAAGAACTATCACTACCTTGTGATTAGAAATTAGAAAATTTCAGATTTAGCATGGTTAAATAAGATTTTCCCCAAATTCCCAAGCAATATATAATTGAACTTTAATTCCATGTGTATTTAGTGCATATATATAATTAATAATAATGATCTGCTGCCTATGAGAAACTGCAATGGTCATTTTAAAAAGTTTTTCAAAGTATAATTTTTTAAGTATATGGTTATACATCATCATCTGTATCAGGCATGCAAAATCTTAGCTTACTTCTAGTGGACATTTATAGATCTGAGCATACCCTTGTTTTAGTCTCCCATATTTTTAATGACATTACAATAATATTATTTACATTTAAAGTCAATTACTACCAGAAGTCTTTGAGCTGCATTGATCACAGAAAAATAATAAGAATAAGAGCCAATTGAAAGATGTCTCCCTAAAGAGTACATGTTAACAGACCACAAAAAAATCATTTCCATGCATCATTTCAATCTTTTCTTTAGTTTTCTAATTTTTCTGATCTACAATAGTTGTTTCTCAACCCAAAGGGCTTCTTATTTTCAACAACAAATTGATTAGCATAATCCTTCTTTTGTTTGTTCAATTATTCAAAACCTATTTTTGAACATCTGTCCTCGACTTGGTGACAGAGGATGAGGATGGCACAGAGGGAGAAGCACAATGACAGGCGTGTGCACCAGGTGCTCTGGGACACTTGGCCTGCTGCCGGCCGTCGCCCGGGGGCCGGGAAGGGGGAGGATCATTTCTGCGCTGCAACCGGACAGAAACTATAGCAGATACCCAGGCAGCTTCAACAGTGACACAGACATTCAAGGAGTGTCACAACTCCAACTACCCTTGCCCTGTTCCTTCTCATCTCACTTATGTGAAAAGACTCAGGTGTTAAGAATGGAAGCAAATGACCCAGTGTAGACACTCTTATTAATAAGAGGTCTGTCCAAGCAACACAAATGAAGAACAGTAGAGGCCAATGGTAACAATAGCAGAGTACCTAAATTCCATACTTTTAACAGATTCAAAGCATTATTAAATTTCTCATTTCCTCCCTTAGAAAATGATTGATTATAATACCTATGTGCTCGGTTCGATTAGCATACATATGGCGAGGCTGATGTCACCCAAAATGCCCCAAATTAACATGCACTGGGATCACCAAATTGGTTGTCAGAATAATAGTATGTTTGTATAATAAGTGACTCTCATATACCTCAAAGCTAATTAGCACATTACCATGATAGTCATTAAATATGATCAGCTAATTCATTGGTTTTGTGTTCATACTTTTGTTCCAAGGCTATTTTTAAAAGTACTTTCATGTACTCCTAGCCTCTAAAAAGTACAGATAATAACATACCATTAGCTTGAGAACAGAAATGTCAGCTGGCAAACAATCTATTTGCTTTCTGATTATGGATTCAATATGCGTATTTTTTATATCCTGAAAACATTGAGAACTCCCAGAGGTAAATGTCCTTTAAGATAAGTGTTTAATAACTGTGGGTGGATTATTTACCTTTCTGTATCACTTTGTCAATTTAACATTATTTATAGTTTATTAGTATTTCGATATTGTATAGACATTTGCAATGCTTAATAGCCCTCACACTTTTACTGTTATATGTTGAGAGTGTTGATAAATTTCCAATAAAATTTGTCATAGCTTTCCCAACAGAGTGTACCTGGTGTTGACATATATTCAGGTTTCTCTGTTGTTATGCTAATAACCCTCTTCTGCTTGTTTGGAAAGGGATTGAATTGGAAATTGTCAATAGCTGTGAAAAGAACAATGGTGGTTGTTCTCATCACTGTGAACATGCACTTGGTGGGCCTGTTGTTCCTGTAACCATGGATACCAGCTTAATGCAGATGAGAAAACATGCATAGGTAATGTATGGTAAATGCCATCTTCCTTCAGAGTGGTCCTGGATTCATTTAGCTTTTTCTTCTTTAATACTTATTGCTAGAATGTGGGCCACCGCTCTCAAACTGCGTAGAGAGATAAATTGAACAGTGTCTCTGGCTACTGGAGAAATGTAAAAGAAGCATTACTTGACAGAAGACATCATTATCTTTGGATATTTACTTTGAAGTTAAAGGAGCTTTAAAAACACTTTAACAAAATATATGGACTTACTTTTATATCTGGAAAATATTTCAAGGCCTATCTACCCACTTAGTGTAATTTGTAACTCAAACAACGTGTTCTACCAGGCACTCTACTTCTCTCTGCTTCAAGCAGAAACGAAATCTGGGCATTTGTTTTCAGTTTGTTGATGATTTGAATGCATGTTCAACTTTGGCATGGCAGGAAGCTACACTCCAAAAGAAGACCTTAAAAGATAGCATTTTTTTTTTCAGAATCCCAGTTAGAACCCATTTTGAATACATAATTTTTCCAACAGATTATTAGGACTTTTATCATCTGCGACAATGAGAAAATTAAATTCTACTCCAGCCTTGCTTCATAATGAAATGTTGAATCCAGGGCCTCTGAGACAGGGAATAGCTACTAAAAATAGGGATAGTGAGCAGCAAACTACATCATTATGTGCTCTGGGTCGGAAAGCACCTACAAGTCCCTATAAAGCAATTTGCCATCATTCAGGAATTGTGTGCCATATTTTTTGTTTGATCATTTATATCACCTTTCTAAAAATTATGAGTACTAAAAAACTCTTTGATCATTTTATACTACTCAGTATGGTTACTGGAGTATTATGAAAGAGGAGATGAATTTCAGAAGTCTAAGTATTTGGGATTTGTAACAGAGTGTACTTCAAGGAATTTTGAAGTGTTCTGGTTTCATAAATCACCTAACCAAAACAATGTCATTACTGGTATTTCTTGGCCCAACATTGCCTCCTGTATTTTTCTGAGTCCTCAGTGGTTAACCTAATGAAATGTGTAGCTTTCCTTGCTGCTTCTCTGTAATGAAAAATAAGCTCATATTTTCCTGCCTTGCTAACATTCGTATCTCTGGAGAAAGTAAAGGGGTTTCTGCTTTCCTTCCTCCCTCCCTTGCTCCCTTCCTATCTGTCTTTTCACTAAACCTTTTGCTTACATCCAATTTCGTGGTTTTCCTTATTCTTTGAAAAGTACAATTCAGTAAAATTCTTGTTTATAACTAGAAAAAAATACTATAGGACAGGGTTAAAAGTGTAGAAAATTACATATTTATGAGATTTCAGCAGTCAACATGATGTTATATTGTTTATGGCCCAAATTTATTTCATTTCCCAACAGTAAATAATACTCATTGTTAAAAAAATATTCACTAGAGTAAGGCAATGTTTTTTTTGGAGTATATGTATACATACTTTGCTTATTTGCCTGAGAACAGATTAAGGCCTTAGATGATTTGTGCAACCATTCACGTATGAAGGAAATTAAAGAATTTTCATTTTAGCATATTGTAGGATATGTGTGTGTGAGTGTGGGTGTGAGAGTATGTGTGTGTGTGTGTGTGTGTGTGTGTGTGTGTGTGTGTGTGTGTGTGAAAACATACCAATAAATGTAAAAATAAGTCATCCAGTCTAAAAATTGTCAATTTGTCTTACCCAAATACAAAAATTTGCTAGGGCTAAAACCTAGAGATATGCTAACACAATTCGAAAGACAGCTATACAAAATGCAAGTTTCTGACCAACAAAGAAGCTTACTACATTTAACAAGTGTTAATTATTAGAAAAAAAACTTCTAACCTTTTGAGTTTATTCAACAACTATGTATGGGGCATTCAACAACTATACACAGAAGACCAGTGTTTTTTTCACAGTTTAATTTTGATGCTTTTCTAAAGTCAGAAAAAAAGTCTTTAATTGTTTTGCCCAGCTACAATCAAAGCCCTCTTTTTTGATTAAGGCTAAATTTTTATGAACAGGTGAATTTCTCTGTCATGTTGCGTTATATGGCATATTGGCCAATGCAGAAAAAAACATGATTGTCAGAGAGGAGGAAGATGAAAGAGGAAAATAAGCAAGCAAAGATCTTCCCAAATTAGATCTGAAATGAAGTCAAGGAATTTAGGAAACACATCATGTCAGGGTCGAAGGCACACGGCATTTTAAGAAAGGCTTGTGATGTACGAAGAATGTTTCAGATGAACTTCCGACTGAAGGTGGCATACATGAAACAAGCTAGAAACCCCTCCAAAGAGTGATGACAGAGAAGAATCCAACATGTATCATAAAGTGATAGACTGAGGAACTCATTTCCAGTTGTGATACAGTTGTGCTCCTATTAGCCAACAACAGGGAATCCTGAGACATATGTGTGTGGAGGCCCTGTTAGTATATGAGAATACTTTAAAATTTATTTTAAAAAAATATAAAGGATAATGTTTTAGATGAAATAAACTGAATTTTTAAAAGTAATTTGCCTTCTGTATTCATGCTATTTAATTCAAAGGACAAAGGATGATTTAATGTAAGAGGAAAATATATCACCTGGAATTTTGTAACACTGCTTGTGACATTTTGCAAGAAAAAGAATGTTTTGTGTCCAAATGACCTTCATTTAGATATTTTATGGTGACCCCTCACCTTAGACAATTGACTGCATTTTCATTCCTTTCTGTCTTTTGTCTGCATTTCCTTAACATTGGTGCCCTTTCCAAGGTTAATTGGGGCATTAACCTTCTACGTGGCTGCTCCTGTAGTTATTTTGTAAACTCAGCACTGACAGGCCACCTGACTTAACAGCTCAGCAAACACACCAAGGGCCTATAGCCAAAAACCCTGAACACAATTCTTAGTGGGTGAAAAGTCTTTTGCTACTTCTTAACCCATTATGTTGGAAATGATCACCTCAAAACCCAAGCCAAGTAGATTGTTCTTTGGCTAAAAGGTTTCCATATGACATCTTCTGGTACATTTTTGTTTTCCCCTGAGGCAATTATGTCTGCAGAGAAATATCCAGGTTTGTAGAGTTCTGGAATAAGAGTACTGAGGAGACTTAAAGAGCATCACTTAAAAAGCTATTACCTGGTAGAACATGCCAGGGTGATGGTGTCACCTATGGCAATTAAAAAACCTTGACCCCAGTCATCCCAGTCAAAGCGTCATCTCAAGTTCAAGCAAATACTCTGAAATGTTCTGTAATTTAAAACATAACATTTAAAAAGATTGTCTATTCTATGAATTATGGTTGCTACTTCCTTTGCCATGTGTGTGAATTCCTCTCGCTTGCAAATGTTCTTTCGTCTGAAGTCTGGCACAAACACTTCCTAGAGTTGAAGACTGCCTCCCCTTTGCAGCTCTCAGTCCACTCAGTGGGTTTCATGGGCTCTTCTTTCCAAGCTGTTTTTTTTTTAATCTTTAAGTTCTCTGTTTATTTAGTCAAATTGCTGTTTAAACTGGAAAAATAGCAGAGATCTATTTTCCTGCGCTTGTAAATGCATTTGGAAGTTATTTACCTACTTAAAAAAAATTAACAGGCCTAGGAGAATCATGCAAGAAACAAAAACCCGAATGTGGGCCTCATTCTTTTTGTGTTAACAGTTGCTTCAATGTCTATACTCTATAGCCTAAGAAATAGAAAATGATAAGTAACACCGTTTTCACTCAAAAGTGAGGCTTTTCAGCCCTTCTATAGGCCAGGCAAATGTCCTGACTTTGAAACAGCAGAAGTGTCCTTTTCCCCTCCAGACTTTGATGAGTGTGAGAGCGGAGAAGCCTGCTGTGTGCAGCTCTGCATCAACTATCTCGGGGGCTACGAAGGCCACTGTCAGGAAGGCTTTCGGATCAGCACTGACGGTTGTGGATGTGACGGTATGTCCCTGAGACCCCGCAGGACATCGCTGATGTGCTGGGGCCTTCAGTGAAGGAGGAACCTGTGAGGAAGGGGGTTAGGGTGGGAAAGGGAAGGCCCTGACCCTCAAGAGAATTGGACTTCTGTGTGGTTCTACCACTTTCTATCATATTAACTTGGACACATCTGACATCTCTGAGCCTCAGATCCTCACCAATAAAGTGAAGACAATAGAAGGATTAATGGGTAAATTCAAGAAAGCGATAAATGTGAACTGCCTAGTAGAGTGATTGACAAAGAGAAACCACTCAAATAAAGGTAGCTATTATTATTGTAATACTTATTGGCCCATAATCTCTTTTACCTAATTTAATATATATGGGCAAGTGAGAGATCCTTGCAGGGTACAGGGGTCATACAAATCACTGGTGACAAGCTTGGCTGGAATTAGAAAGTGGGTGGCTGAAAGTCATTTTAATTAGAGATCCATCACAAAAGGATTGCTAGTTCTTTGCCACAATCCAAATCTATATCAGAGTCTTTTATATATCTGATATTAATTAAGCTAATGCAAGTCTGAAGATGTCTTTTACAACTTTCTAACTTATTTGTTAAAACTGGTTCACTTACCTTTCAGATGATCTCTAGATTACATATTTGTTTTCATAGGAAAGCTTGATTACTCATTTAATGAGTAAATTCACTTTTTTAATCATTACATTAAGAGCAGCTCATTTAAGTCTTTGCTATCATTTATTTTTTACAGTCTATTGTTAAAATATGTCATCTCTAAATTTTTATTTTACGATCATTATTACCACTATTTTGAACTACACTTTTCTTTAAATCAAAACAAACATAAGACGATTTTTTAAATCTTTTTAATAGCAAAGTATTGAAGAATATTATGCCTCAGAAAAAAATTGTGTTTCTTTGCTTAAAGAAACAAATTCTTAAATTATGTAAAGGATGATAGGTGTGTCTCTCCATATACATGCCAAGCTCCTCAGCCTTGCAATGTAGATAACACACAGTTATGATATCTATATATTCTAAACACAGTAGAGTATGTTATCATTTACCATATTCCATCCAGTTAGCAGGGCCCCCAAAATTTGAATTTCATCAACCATCTGCTCTTAAGCAGAGTGAGCCAAAAGTTGTTTGCATAGTATGGATACACGTACTTGGATAAGGGCACACAAATGAGAAAGGTGTTGCTGTTTGAGGCAAAGCTTAGGCACCCGCATTGGCTCCTGTGAACGTGCTGACTAAAGTCCAGGTAGCAGAGATCAAGGCTCAGGGTTCTTCCATCTCTAAAATCCACCACAAACCTTGTGCAGAGTTGTTCCTGGAATAAATGCTTCATCACAGATACTGAATAATTCAAGAACGAATGAACATTATGCAAAATGGTGCACAGCCTGAGACCATTGAATTTATTTTAAGTTTTAAATTCTTCATCGAAAGGTCTGATGAACAAGGTCTCAAAAAGACCTTGTCTATGTAGATGAACTGCAGTAAACTTGGAAATGAGTGAAAGAAAAAAAATCGACAGGATAAACCTGAGAGAGCATCCAGGGCTGCACTTTCTATATGGCAACACATTGTTGTGGATTAATAAAGGTTGGCAAGAGGAACACAAATATGCAGATGAGTTCACAATGTCTGTGTTATCTCTCAGCGCCTAAACGCAAGCATTGTTTAAATGTTCCTAGATCTGGATGAGTGTCTGGGTATCAGCATAGCCTGTGACCAAGCATGAATTAACTCTGTGGGGACATACCACTGTGCTTGTGAAGAAGGCTACAGAATTGGCCGTGATGGAAACACTTGCATCTGTAAGTCACTGTGAAGAACCTTATTATGTCTCTTCTAAACTATCCCCACCCTTGTTTTGTTTAGGAGCAACGGAGACCACATTTTCCTTAACTCCACCTGTCCTCCCCTTTCTGTCTTCACAGACTGAGATCTTTTCCTTTTGTTCTCTCTGCTGCAGTTTGAGCTTTGTGCTGGCTGCTTCTCACCTTTATTTACAATGGGCTCTTTGAAATGACCTCAAAGAGTTCTCCCTTTCCACAGCCCCCTGCCTTGGCTGTCTAGTTCAAATTCTCATTTCTCTCATCCACCCTTGCTCAGTTTTTCCTTCTTTGAAACAGCATGTTGAATCCAGATATTCTCCTGTGTGGTCTTATAGCTTTAGATGATGATGAGTAAGAGGAAGAGGAGACATTAGAAGTTGTGAAGTTTGCAGGCCTTCTGTTCAAGAACCCACCTCAACTGCTTCATTACATTAGTACCTCTCTGCCTCCCACCTACAAAGATGAAGAAGATGAGGAGAGAGAACAGATATTCCAGAACTGGCTGCTTTGCCCAAAGTTGGTGAGTAAAAGGGTTATCTCATTGTAGTCACCTCTTTTCTTTATTAGAGAATTCATGTAAATTCTTTTACAGACAATCTCATTATCCATATTTAATGCCACCAAACTTTTTAATGTTATGTTAGCAAGAAAAATGGAGCCAGAATCAATTCTTCAGAGCTTCCTAGCAAATCTATCATCTTTTATCTTTCTTCCTGTTGCACTATGTAGGTACACATAGAGGTGGGTGGGGGTGCAGGGCAGTGGGGACTTTTGAAGTACAATAAAGTGAAATGGAGCTGAAAAATATCTTTAAATTAATTTAATGGGGAGAAGGACTGGAACCTTTTAGTTCTGACTACTAAAACTGTATTAGGAGTCACTTTTTTACATAGTTAAAAGTTTACTTTAAATAGCTTTAAAATCTAGATGCTTCTTATATTTTAAAATTCCTAGAGCAAATTATTTAATATGTTCAAATGGACCCCAAAAAATCTTAAAATTGTGAGCAGTTTCTCTCATACCCTCGCCACAGAACGAAAGCGTCCTGTCACTGCTGATCAGAGTGAATTAGTGTGCCCTCCTTCAAAAGGAGCAGTTTGCAGCCAGTCTGCTGCATCTTTCCCTTTCCTTTGTCAAACAGAGCTGCTCTCTTTGTTCTCCCCCTATCTGTTGTAGTTTCACAGTGTCGAGCTTGAAAATTGCTTTGGAAGCATTCAGTAAAATGGCAGAAATATTTTTATGCGATCCTGAATCATAATAATAATATCAATCGAGACATCTGCATAAAAGCAGAAATGCTTTAAAGTTTCTTAATGAAACTCCTGATACATTCAGAACTCAAAGTCTGCATGGAAGGGGCTCGGGGCTACGATGGCAGTCTCATCGTGAGAGGCCAAGGTCTGGGGAGAAGAGAGACTCAGACAGCTGACACGGACAATCTCTGCTGAGATTGAGCCATTGTGAATGGATGGGCTGTGCAGGCAGAAAACCAGGAAGTCTGAAAGACAGCTGCTCAGAGGATACGGAGCCATGCACAGTTATCAGCAGGTCATGGTGATGGGGAAGTAGAGGCTGCAGCCCAGCCTTGGCCAAAGGAGAGAAGGCTGGCGCACCACAGAAGACTTTCAACTGAGACATCTGAGAGACCCCATTAGAAACAGGAGCAAAACTTGGAAGGAAAGAGTTCTTAAGACAACTGAAACCAAGTCTCTCCATCCCTATTCAGATGAAGGTAATTTCCCTCAAGAAGAGAATTGAAAAACACTTCATGGTACACTTATACAATAGAATATTATACGACTTGAAAAACAACTAGTGTACACAATAGGGTGAGTCTCACAAATATTAAATTGAGTGAAAGAAGAGTGATACCAAGAGTACATACTTTACAATTCTATTTACTTAAAGTTCAAAAGGAGGAAAACAATCTATGGTGATAGAAATTGGGGTAGCGCTAAATTTGAAAAGCTAATGATTAAGAATCATTAAGTCGCCTTGGAGTTTTGGGGGTGCTGGCAATACACTAGCTCTTGATCTGGATGGCATTTACTGGGGTTTTCTACACTATGGAAAAATATAAAGTGTACACTTGAGATTTGTGCACTTCTCTCAGTGTATATTGAATCTCAATTTTAAAAAATCTTACTAAGAAAAAAACTTGGCATAAAGAAGCCTAGAAAGAAAAGCACCAAGTGCAGAAACATTGATTATTTTAGTGTTCTGAAATCGATGTAATTTCTTTTCACTTTTTTACTTTATTAAAAATTCTTCAGGGATTATATGTCAATAGTATCATTAGAAAAATATAAAATAAACTCTGTTTTAAAAAAACCTCCCTTGCTGTCTTTTTCTGGGACTCTTTAAGACAAACACGCAAGGATCGTGTGTGTGTGCATGTGTGTGTGTGTGTGTAATTAAGCGTTTCGTCTCCATGTTGCAGTCTGTGTAGGTGACACCTTTGGACCTGATTGCAGCTTGAGCTGTGAGGACTGCGTGAACGGGGGCAGATGCCGGGAAGGGGAGAGTGGGTGCTCCTGCCCAGCGGGCTGGCCTGGCATTCTTTGTAATGAACGTAAGTGATACCCTGAAGAATTGGTAAGAGGGTCATATGGTCTCCTTTACTGCTGGCAAACTACTGGTGGGTCCTCTTAGACTGTGTTCTCCCTAAAATGTTTTAACAAGGAAAGCCATTGACGTGGGTGAAAAATCAATTTATTTGTTGTGCATAAAGAATGCCTGTGAAGCACTGAGGTTGTTAACTGAACATGTGATTAAAAGGAGAGATTTTGTGTTCCCTGGGAAACTTGATGTACTGTTTCTTGTTTATCCATGGAACGTAAAAGTTAATAAAGGATTCTAATATTCTAGGCCTATAAAAATCCCTCCATTTAAATAAATCATTAGGCCCAGGCAAGCTATTCCCAATAAAGAAAAAAGAAAGGATTTGTGCTACAAAGTGCAATTAATGGGATTGCTCACTGCTGCTACTTTCAGTTTGTGTTTTTTTTATTTCTTTTTCTTTTCAGAATATGTTACTATAGCCAATGACACTTTTAAGTTTTTATATATTCCCTCATAAAAATATAAAAGATTCAAAAAATAATACCTCTTATAAATGTTTTCTTTGTATTTTAAATGAAGGTACACTTGCAGATACTACCAACCAAGTAATAAAAAACAAAATACATTAACTATCTTTGTTTCCTCTTTCTTTTTTTCAATTTACCTTAAATTTTTTAAGAGAAGGGTTTTCTTAGTCTTTGTTATTAGCTTGGAAGGTAGCATGAGCAGATATCTCTTCTGAATCCCCTGCATGTAGGAAGAAAGGGCACAAATGCTGCTTCTATTAAGAAACAGAAGCATGGCCTGAGTCACAACGCGGTGAACTGGTTTAACCAAGATTACTGGTTAGGGGCTGGGACCTTCCTCAGGCACCTCTGTGCTCATGTGTCTCTTCTGCTTAAAAACCCTGTCAGAGCATCCTATTTCCTGATGTATAAACCCTACACGTCTGGCCTTCTCACCTCTAATCAGGCTCTTCCAAACTCTTTTTACTTTTTATTTTAATCACAGCTCTTTGCCCAGCTTATCATTTCCACCAATCTCAACCACTCATCACTTATTGTTTTACAGTTCTCATTTTTGTACCTTGTGCTAAGCAGCCATCTTAGTCTATTGCTACTTATTGTATGAAACTTTTCTGATGGGCCCAGACTAAGCACAGCTATTTAGATTTCACTGGGTTTGAAGCCTCCCTCTCTCTCTCACCACTGGTCTAGTGTCAGTTCTTCTCCGGGGCCATTTCTCTGACTAGACTAAGAGGTCCCTGGCAAGGTCCTGTTTGTGTTTCTACAAACTGGAGGTACCAGCTGCATGAATGAGCAGATGAATAAAACTTAGTATTGAAGCACTCAGCTATGTGACCTGCAACTACATAAAATTGGGATCAAATAAACATGATTGCATGATTAAAAGGAAGTAAACACTTACCTTATATTGTAAGTTTGTTGAGAAATATGTATCTTCCAAACCCTTGATTTTTAACCTCAACATCATGAGAAATGAAACTAAAAATCTATCTCAAATACATCAGAATATAACATATCTGATACAAGATAAATATAGAAATACTGAAAATGAACTTGCTGATAAAATGAAGATAATATGACCCAAGTTTTCATTGGCTTTAGAAAGCTTGAAGATTTTTAAAGTTTTCCCAGGGCCTATGCAGGACAGTCAGTCCTTGAAAGCAGAAGATTGTATCTTTCTTTTTGCATTTCCTCCCTGTCTTTCTTTAATTTATTTCACAAAAATGAAAACAGAAGAATCCAAATGAAAAGCAAAATGTTCACTGATTCTTTAACAAAAAGGAGTGAGAACATTTTTAAATATCCTTGTAAACTGCAATAAATAGAAGTGACCAATCATTCATTATTGTTCATATTTTTAAGAGTCCCAGTTCTTGAAATGCAGCAAGGGAAATTTAGAAAAAAAACCATTCTGCAGAGATCTGGAAAGTTAGTTTCCCACTGAGTAGATCTTTTAGCCTAATATCTTTATTAGTCTATAATGATATATCTGCATTGATGTAAAAGAGGGGAGGGGGGGGGGGGGGGGGGGGGGGGGGGGGGGGGCGGGGGAATACAAAAAACTGTTTCTTAAAAAAAAAAAAAGAATTTACCAAGTAATTATAATGAAACAATTAAAAAATTATCATATATTACTTTTAATAGCACATTTCAGGACTCCATTTTCAAGAGCTTTTATATTGACTACTTCATTTGTAATTGTGAGACTCTATCCAACAGAAATGAAAGACTGGAATATTTTCACATCACAGATGAATGGGTTGTATACCGAGGAGAGGGTTCATGACTCCATCCAAATCATCCAGCTCTGATTTGGGACGTTTGCTTTAAAAATTTGTTTCTCCGGGGCAATTGCTCTGTTTGACATTAGGAAGTAGTTAGCAAATCCGTGCACTATATGATATTATTTTCTACTTTGTGGAGGAGTAACAGACAGTGGTGTTGTTTTGCCGCTGCTGATTTGATGACTTGCTGTAATCCAGATACTGTAAAAGCTATTTAAACTTCCTTGACATTATTTTTCAGGTGTAGTTTAAAAAAACTTCATCCCCTCTATTGTTCTTGTAAGATCAAAGACTTACCACATGTAAATTAACAGTGGACCTAAACCAGGGTTCACTGATAGTTTGTCTCTCTTGTGCTTTTTTTGTTTTCCTCCTTCCTTTTTCTTTCCTGTCTACAGTAGCCTAAGGCTGGAAAGTAAAGAAAAAAGTGAATGAGAAACCAAGTTTCCATATTAACATCTGGAATGGTGTGGGTGGGTGAGTAGAATGGGTGGTATAAATGTAGTGTTACAACATTTATCCTATTATGATAAAGTGACAAATAGTTACTGAACTTTTCCAAAAACTTGTATTAAAATAAAGCTCTCACTATTTTCTCCAATTTATTATTTTTTGAAAGTTATGTCTTATTTTATTTTATTTATTTATCTTTAGAAGGGAAGGGAAGGAGAGAAAGAGAGAAATATCAATGTATGGTTGCTTCTGGTGCACCCCCTGCTGGGAACTGGCCCCTGTTGGGAACTGGCCGGCAACCCAGGTACGTGCCCTGACGGGGAATCAACCATGATCTTTTGGTTCGCAGGCCTGTGTTCAATCCACTGAGCTATACCAGCCAGGGATCCAATTCATTATTTTTATCAGAATACTAAACACTTCCCCCAAAGCAACAAAACAGTTGTTGCTTGACTTCATCATTCTTTAATAATGCCAAATACCTTGAGACCCTCACAAAGTTTTATTTATTCCTAGTTAAAAATACATGACATTTTTTCCCATTTTTCAAAATAGAAGGTGCAATTTATTTCTCATTAAGTTTGGTTAGAGTTCTACAGCAAAGATACCTCAGCTTTGAAAATGTGAAGGTTAGAATCTAAGGAACAGGGTAAAATTTTGTGTGTAAACCTTCTTAGCAGTACCTCAGCCAACACTTTCGCAGCTGCGTCAGTAATCCCCAGGAATGATCACGCCATCTAAACTAGGAGCATGCTGGAGACCCTTCCCAGGTCTGCAAATGACAGAGATTTTGATTGCTTGGTATTCCTTCTAATAGGAAGACAAGATTTTTTTCCATTTGTATCACAATGAGTATGTTACATACTGCTTGTTCAACTTCTTCATTTTCTTTATAGCTTGCTCCCCGGAGACTGGTAGGAAGGAGAGTGGAAACATCTGTGATTGTCAGAATGGAGGCAGCTGTGATCCTCTGACTGGCAGGTGCCGGTGCCCCCTTGGGATGCATGGGAAAACCTGTGAACACGGTAGGACCATTGCATGAGACAACTCGTTAAGGTCTTGAGATTCCTAACATGCAATCAACTAAGTAAAATTTGTGTCTGTATTTTTCAAGGTAGTCTTTTTCTGAAGTTATAAAAGACTGTGTTTATACATATATAAGAACATAATTGCTTTGATTGATGACATGTGGAACAGAATGTGATACTTATATCTCCAGCTGTGATCTAAGTAGGATGATACAAAAAAAAACCAAAACAAAACAAAAAAAAACCTTTTTCTTCCGTTGATCAAAAAGTTGAGTTTGTGTTTACAGGTTTGGATATAAGAGCTGGAGAGAATTTATTTGCTTTGCATAATAAAATGAAGAAAAATGGGGCTACTTGAACAAATCCAGAAGGAAAGGGGATGAACATCAGAGAACAAAAGGAGAGGAGAGAGGAAGGAAAAAAGGGAAGAAATATTGCATGAAAACTGACAAAATTCTAATGAGTGCTATGTATGGGTTTTTCATGGAAACCAGTGAAGGGCCACATTTTCTACACAGGTTAATAAAGCCAAAGGAGAAACTGCTTTTCCAGGCCCAACAGCTGCAGGCAGAGAGTCAATGAAGACATAAATCTTTAGGGATTGCCAGAAATCATGAGGAGTTTGTTAGATTCTCACAGATCATTGGAACCGGGGAGATGGAAACTAAGTTTACTTTGTTCCCTGAGAGGTGCAAGAAGGCACCTGCTGGCATCCCAATGATTTACCCCCTAAATAATATGTGTTTATTACACAGTAATGTGTGCTTTGTGGTCAGGACATGAGAAAAAGACAGTGTGAGACACAGAAGCTTCTAGAGAAGGGACTTTTAAGCAGAAGCGTACAACATGAGGGGACACGAGGCAGGAAGAACATGAAGGAAGAGCATGGCCAGGCTGACTTCTATAAGTATGCAGCACCTTAGAGGAACCAGAAGTTCAGCTGGTGCAGCAAAAGTCCTTCGGGGAGATCTTAGTGCCTTGTGAGGTCAGCCAGTGCAGAGGCTCACAGTCTTGTTAAGTTTGGAGTCTTCACCTGACAGCAATGTCTGGTGGTTGTAGAATTTTGGAAAGAGGATGTAACATTGTTATTTGTGGTCTTTAAAATATCTCCCTAACCTCAGTAAGATCACATTGGAAACATCTCACCTTTTGCAAGCTCCTCATTTCATGTAACAACAACTCTAGCAAGGTTTGCATGTAGGTTCATATTTTCTTTGTTTGTCCCTCTACCTCCAGGATGCCCAAAAGGACTCTTTGGGAAGAACTGCAAAAGGAAATGTAACTGTGCCAACAATGGCCATTGCCACAGGGTGTACGGTGCCTGTGTGTGTGAGCCAGGGTGCTATGGAAGGTTTTGTCATCTGAGTAAGTCGCAGGCACTACATTTGTTCTCGCTGTGAAGCAAGGAGGCTCAGAAGTGCCAAAAATATATTAGACAAAGGAAGAGTCATATATATAATGATTTATGTTCTAGTCTTTATTTAGCCTACTTACTTTAGAGGAGTTAGATTTTGATGAATGAAAGAAAAATATTCCTGAATTCTTTACATTTTTTCTCATTAGTAATTATGTTAATTATTGAGAGAGGATTATTAAGAGCTCATTTAGAAGGAGACTTGACACTTTATGGGAGTTAAATATCAAAAGGCCCGGAAAAAGTCTCTATTATTTCTGGGTTCCAGTGCATTAGAAATATCATTTCCTAAAATTTTCTGCAATGGGCTATTTTGTTTTTTGACCATCAATCACATTTGGCAGAAGATGTGAGAAAACACAATCACCAATCAGTACTTTAGCCTCCTAAGTAACTTACAGGGTTTCTTGTAATGGGACTTCTCTGGGGAAGTGCCCACCATCCCTTCTTGACACTGTGTGCGAGGACCTCTGAGTCTGAAACAGTCTCCATACTCTTCCTCTATGTACTACGTATGCCCTCCTCTAAAAATCCTTCCCGAGTGGACCTCAGTAATACCCTGACCCATTTCTTCATAAGAGACCTTTTAGAGTTTTATATTGTATTTTTAGTTGACTGTCCATGGATTTTGTCTATTTTATCAAAGGTTACTACTAGAAAACATGGAGCAGATTATGAATACTGCACAAAGGGAGCCAGTGAAGGCAGTGTGGACAGCTGAGCCTGGGTCACGAGGAAAGGTCCGGCCTGGGTGAGCAACGGAGAAGGGGACAAGGCATATGTAAACCTGGAAGATTCAGGCACAGAGGGTGTGTTCCAGAACGTCATATACCTCCTAGAACATGCCAAGAGAAGAAAACTCACCTAGAGACAAAGAGCGCGTCATTTTTATTGTTGTTCTTCTAAGGCAGCAATTTTCAACATTTCTTATCTCTTGGCACACAGAAACTAATTGCTAAAATTCTGTGGCACACCAGAAAGTATACTTTTTGCCAATGTGACAAAAATAGGTATAATTTTAATTGATTTACAGAAAACATAATGATAGTAATTATCTATTTTTTACTCTCCAAAGTGATTTTTAAAAAACATCAGATGCCTGTACTTGTATATGAGAATTTCTGATACCAAGCACTAACCAATCAGGTGCAACCTTACTATGTGATGTGACAGAAAGGCATAATTCCACTATTTGACCTATGTATTTATGGTTCAAGACAGGGCATTTGCACCTAATGGTTATTGTTGGACTGGCTAGTGTCAACTTTTTACCTGACAATCTAAGAGAAAAGAGGTCAGTGTCCCTGACTGAATAGTCAGGTACTGCATGTTTTAAAAATTCTTGCAGCACACTGGTTGAAAATCATTGCTTTCAGGTAACAAAGTACACCCTATTTTTTAGTAATAACTTTTGAATATTTTACAAGGCAATGCCAGATGTTTTGGCATAAAAACATTAAAATCATAACTCATCTGGTCAAACATTCAAAGAGCAGGTGGTGGTGCTAACCGTAGATAGCATTTTGAATGTGACCATCTTCAGAAAAAATATACACACTTCAGTTCTTCACGACTCTTTTGGCTTAGATCGGAGGCTTCATTTAATGATGCCACTTGCCTGGCCCTGAGAAGCTGGACTTTGCAACTGTATATTAGTTTTCTAGAGCTGTCATAATGAAGTGCCAGAAATGGATTGCCTTAAATAAAAGGAATCTATTGCCTTGCAGTTCTGGAGGCTAGAAATCTGGGATCATGGTGTTAGCAGGTCACGCTCCCTCTGAAGGTGCTAGGGATCCATTCCAGGATTCTCCTCGCTTCCTTGGCTGTGACGCCATAACTCTAGTCTTCACACAGCATTGTCCCTTGTGAGTGTCTCTGTGTCCAAATGTCCTCTATTTATAAGGACATGAGTTGTATCATATTAGAGGCCCCATCCTACTACTTTAGTGTGACCTCAAGTTAACTGAGTACATCAGCAATGACAATTTACAAATAAGGTCATGTTCTGAGGTACTTGGGTAAGGACTTCAAAATATTAATTTGGGGGGACACATTTCAGTGCATAAGAAATGCTGAGTAGACCCTGGATTGACAAAAAAAGTTACTTTTCCCACTCTTGTCTACCTGCTGAACCAGAAAGAGTGGGGGCATGGAAGTCAGCCCAGGGAAGTGAGTGTTCCAGAATGAGCCAGGAGAGACCTACGTCAAGGAAGACAGTATCTCTGAGAGCCCTTGGGGAAGGTGGGTCTGGGCAAGAACTCAAAACTTGGAAACCACAGAAAAAATTAAAAAAGGATTAGTATACTTTATCACCCAAATAAGATAAGAGCAATAGTGAAAAGGAGCCCTTTTAATAATTCTGTTCCGAATTAGGGGTAACTCTATCTATTCCCGGCAGGGGCAAGAATCACCCCACATGGTGGCATAATAACCACCACTTTAAATTATCTCTGCTCATCACGGCAGATATTAGAAGATGTTGATTTCCATTCACCAGAAAGCCAAATGGCTTATTTTGTTCTTCAAAAGCAGGTGTCTTAGCAAAGCCCATATAGGTATACAATAGAGGGCACTTGAAAGATTTGTATTTGATAGTCCCTGGGATATCTGTATGGGGGAGAAAAAACTGTCAGAAGTATATTTTGCAAAGGGAATTGAATTACTTACTTACTGTAAGTAACTCCTCAAAGAGAGATCTAAAGGTAGGTTTTCCTGAAGGCGAAGGTAGGACTTTTTCAGATTATAATTCCCATGCTCACTATCATCCATAAAACTCAATGGTGTGGGGAAAACAGTGAAAGAAAGGCAAGCACCATTTGCCAAAGATGTGGCCAAGATAACGCTGCTGTCGCGAGGAAAGTTTTGTGTTATCTGCACAATGTGAAATTATATCTGATTACCATATAATGAAAGGGAAGGAAAACAATGGTGAGCCTACCCTTCAACGCCTGTCCATCATCTCCATGCTGCGGCAGGATGAATGTGGGGCTGGCAGGCCCTCGCAGTCCTTGGAGAATACTAACTATAAGCACGGTTCCAGCACATTGAGAGGCAATTTCTCTCCCAGAAGCCCGAAAGCCTTTTAAGTAGTTCAGGCTTCACTGTTCACATCCAGTTGCCAACAAGCAAATGAATTACCTGACTTGAAAGACATTTGTTTCCCCGTTTTTTTGTTGGTGGTGCTGTTTTGGCAGTCAGGACCCTCCTCTTGTTTCCCTGTAATCAGGCCCCACAGAACCACATGCCTGTGCACTAACAATGTAGTGAAAAAAAGAAAGAAAAAAAAGCCAGAGCATGGTTTTCAGATGACAGTTCACTTCAGTCTGCCTGCACACTGTCCCCAGGGGGCCTGTGGAGCTGGCTGCTCCTCAGAATGCCAGTGTGTGGAGGACAACACCCTGGAATGCAGCGCCAAAAATGGCAGTTGCACCTGCAAATCTGGTTACCAAGGTAACGGATGCCAGAAAGGTACAATCTGATGATAAATTTTCTCTCTTCTCTAATCACAATGCTCAGCCTTTGTTCAGCACCATCTGATCATTAATTATTTAACCCACCACTGTCCTCAGGAGATGGGTAAACTTTATTAATCCCCTATTTGCAGGTGAGGAAACTGAGACACAGGGCAATGAAGTTATTTAACCTTGTCATCTCAGCCCCTGCTGTGAGCTGTCCCTGTACTAGCCTGAGCAAGGAGGAAAGAAAGACCACGTAGCAGAGAACCTTCTTACCCTAAGAAGATTACAGCTGGCTAATCACTTTTTTTTTCAGGTGAACCAGTCAACTAAAGGTGCTGCTACCTTTCAGAGTTAAAAAAATAATTTTCTTTATATCTATGGACAGATCATCCAAACAAATACAATCTGAAGATTCCAACCATAAAAAAATTGGGGGAAATTTAAGTATAGTTTTCAGTGTGGTTCTTACTCAAATTTCTAAATATTACATAATTTTTGTAAATCTATGAATAGAAAACATTATGTATCTCATAATTCTAATCATAAGCAACATATATAGGTGTAAGGACAAGTGCATGTGATATTTGGGTGAAGGTATTCAAGGTTTTAGTCATAGCATTCGCTGCTTGGGGCCTCATGGAACTCTTCCCCTGGGTATTTCCAGGACTCTTTTACTTATTCAGAAAGTCTTATGACACTTTTTCACTGAGGCTTACGGGTATTGTACTACTGAAAACTGCAATTTGCATGTCTTTTGAAATTTTTTTGTATTTTCCCAAAGTGCTTATTATCTTTTAATATACTGTATCTTTTGATTTTATTATTATTATGCCTAGTATTTATTGCCATTCCTTCCTGCTAGAAGCTAAGTCCCACAGGAGGAGAGCTATTTCTTTTATTTACCAAAGTATCCAGAAACTCCTAGGACAATCCTGACATACATGATTTGCTCAGTAAGTGTGCTCTTAAATAAAATGAATACATAAATATGAATCTTTGACTTTATTCTTTATAGATATATCTCCTGTTATCATGACTTCTGCATTAAGCGCTTGTAACTATTTTAAAGGGAAAGTATCATAACATTTTTTCTCTATGATAAAATCCTAGAATTTATTTCTAAGAAATTGTGTATTTATTCTTACATGTTGAAACTTCAAAGTTTCACCTTCAAAGTACTCTCCATTTGATGCAATATTACCACTGAGACTCTTTTCCCATTGCTCAAAACAGCTTTTGAGCTCTTCGATTTTGATGCCTTTTAGTGCATCTGCCTTTTTTTGTTTCAGTTCTTCCACATTGGCAAAATATCTTCCTTCATTATCTAGGGACACACAAAAAAAGTCACTTGAGGCAAGATCTGGTGAATAGGGAGGGTGGATCATAGGAGTCATGCCATTTGTGCTGAAAAAATGCTGAATACTCAGCATGCTGTGGGCAGGTGTGCTCATAAGTCACCCATCATAAAGTGGGCAAACATGTTGAAAGAGTCT